AAAAAAAAAAAAAAAAAAAAAAAAAAAAAAAAAAAAAAAAAAAAAAAAAAATTTGTTTTACTCTTAAGGACGATCCACTTCAGCTATGTTTCCTGTGACCGGAAAATTTATTTTTCATAAAATAGGCATTTTACTATACAGACTAAAGTAATCAAAATCAATAAATCAAGTAATGATTATATTAAGTCATAAAGACCTACTTTTTTAAAAATATGAAGCCTACCTCTTTGCCCTTCTTCTTCCTAGTTTTCGGTGTAGACGACGTAGGCATTGGTACGGCTCCACTCGTCGACGGCACATTCTCATCATCATCATCATCATCATCACTACCACCACCACCACCACCACCATCTTCTCCAATCGCTGACACATTCAACTGCCTGTCTTTCCTTATAAGCTGCCGTTGCAACGAAAGGAGTTCTTGCGGATCGTCTGTTATGAGGAAAATAGAATATGTAAACAATTGCACGTTTTGACAAGTTATATTATTAAAAAAACAACACTTCACTATTGAAAACACTTTACTATTGTTCATTTCGTTTTTTTTTAAATTTCTTTTTAATTGTTTTATGGTTTTTTTAATATACTGTATGAAGAAAACATGTACAGAAATATTATTATATACAAACAATTCGAGTCACTAAAAATACAAATACTTACTTGATAATTTCCGGATCACCGCTGGAACAAGCTGACCATCCCAAAGAACTTCAATCTTCGCATCTACGCTTATCTCACCGGTAATAAGGGATGTTTTGACAATCCCCAAACTCTCTTCTTCCGGGAAGTAGAGAAGCGCTTCTCGGCATACTTTTGAACGTTGGCGAGCTGACATTATTATTTTCCAGTAAGTTATGATTCTTGACTGACAAGTGAATCTTAACCAATTTTTCGCCAGTATTTAAGGATATCCCTATAAGAAGGTATTATTTTTAAACGATATTTTAGAATAAACAAATTATTTAACATTGAGCCAATGGTTTAAACGTACTGCAATTATAGTAAGATGATATGCCCTATTACTGAATAAAGATGATCCGCTACCGATCCGCTCGAGTCGTTTCAATTCAACTTGATTTATTTCAAATCATTACAAAGCAAATGAAAAATAAAAATAAAATAACAAAAAAAAAAAATTAAAAAAAAAAAAATTGTTTTACTCTTAAGGACGATCCACTTCAGCTATGTTTCCTGTGACCGGAAAATTTATTTTTCATAAAATAGGCATTTTACTATACAGACTAAAGCAATCAAAATCAATAAATCAAGTAATGATTATATTAAGTCATAAAGGCCTACTTTTTGAAAAATATGAAGCCTACCTCTTTGCCCTTCTTCTTCCTAGTTTTCGGTGTAGACGACGTAGGCATTGGTACGGCTCCACTCGTCGACGGCACATTCTCATCATCATCATCATCATCATCATCACTACCACCACCACCATCTTCTCCAATCGCTGACACATTCAACTGCCTGTCTTTCCTTATAAGCTGCCATTGCAACGAAAGGAGTTCTTGCGGATCGTCTGTTATGAGGAAAATAGAATATGTAAACAATTGCACGTTTTGACAAGTTATATTATTAAAAAAACAACACTTCACTATTGAAAACACTTTACTATTGTTCATTTCGTTTTTTTTAAATTTCTTTTTAATTGTTTTATGGTTTTTTTTATATACAAACACTTACTTGATAATTTCCGGATCACCGCTGGAACAAGCTGACCATCCCAAAGAACTTCAATCTCCGCATCTACGCTTATCTCACCCCAAATCCCCAAACTCTCTTCTTCCGGGAAGTAGAGAAGCGCTTCTCGGCATACTTTTGAACGTTGGCGAGCTGACATTATTTTCCAGTAAGTTATGATTCTCGACTGACAAGTGAATCTTAACCAATTTTTCGCCAGTATTTAAGGATATCGTCACTATTGTTAAAGTATAAGTTCCCCTGATTGGTCAAAAAAGTATTTTTTTACATCTAACGCCTTCATTATTTGGTTTTGTATAATTCGCACATTTTAGTAGACAGCGCATAATAGAATTTACCGCTAAAGCCCTATCGCGCGTATCCTATTGTTTTCGCAAATCAATACCGCCACTTTAATTCGCCGCTAAAATCCGCGACACTCGTCGGCGCGTTATATTACATTATTGTGCCTCATAAAGCACGCAATGCATATTATTACTTTACAAATGAGTATTTACTTTGCAAATGTTCATACATACTATTACTGGCCCCTTAACAATACCACATAGAATAATACTGTATATTTGCCATTACAATACGAGGTAAAAATAAACAAAAGACATTGGTATATTTTTTTTTTATTTATTTCAGCGCGGACCACTATAAATCCCATCATGCATCACGGATTCAGACTAAATATTTTTGTGCTTATTAAAATGTTCATAATACCATTACTGGCCCCTTAACAATACCACATAGAATAATATAGTTGTCATTACAATACAAAAAGACACTGATATAATACTTTTTTGACCACATAGAATAATACTGTATATTTGCCATTACAATACGAGGGAGGTAAAAATAAACAAAAGACACTGATATATTTTTTTTTATTTTAGCGGACCACTATAAATCCCATCATACATCACAGATTTCCGATTAAATATTACGAGTACAGCAATCGTGAAAATGTGTACATACAATCAGTATACAATCGTAATTGGTAATTGTTTGTTACAGTATAGTACAAGACAGAATACCAATTATAGGCCTACGAGTGAAACGTTGTAATAACAGTATATAAAGAGCCTAGGCCCTGTCTAGCCATCATTGTAATATATATTTTTGGAAAAACTTGCGGACAATGATACTGTATTCTCTTATACACATCTAGATGTGTATAAGAGACAGTAGTTATACCCGTTGGAAAATGAGCGGTTCTAATTGTCCCACAGTACTTGCATGCACGTGGTCTCTTATC